GCATGCCAAAAAAGTGTTCGCTTGCAACGCGCCGATGTGGTCAGCTGGAACACACCAAGAACACACAATCATTCACCGGAAGCACTCATGCGTGCATCCGCAGCATGCTGCCTGTGGCTTGATCAAGCGCACGCGCGCTCTCAGACATGCGTTTTTGAGCCTCAAACACACATGCCTGCCCGCGGAATACACCTCGCATGAATCCGTGACAACCGGGGACAAATACAGGGAGACAAAGAGAGACAAATGAATCCGTCCACCCAGAGCGCCGTGCCAGGCATCCCAGGCTGGGAGACATTGCAATGGGAGACAAAACCAGGGAGACAAAGCAAGACAAATCAAGTCCACCAAGAGGCCGTGCCAGGCATCCAGGCTGGGAGACAACTGGAGACAAACGAAGGAAGACAAAGCCCCATTGCCTCCCAGCCTGGATGTCTGGCACGGCTCTCCGGGTGGAGCTGGGAGACAATCCGTCCACCCAGAAGGGAGACAAAGGCAGAGGCATCTGGGCTGGGAAACAACAAGAAACAGATGGGAGACAAAGGGAGGCAAATGAATCCGCAGACAAATAAATGAAGGGCTGGGAGACAACGGGGAGAGAAAATGAAGGGAGACCAAGGGAGACAACGGGAGACAAAAATGAAGGGAGACAAAGGGAGACACATGAACCCGTCCAGAGAGCCGTGCCAGGCATCCAGGCTGGGAGACAACGGGAGACACAAATGAAGGGAGACAAAGGAAAACAAATGAACCTGTCCAGAGAGCCGTGCCAGGCATCCAGGCTGGGAGACCACGGGAGACAAATGAACTTAGAACCCCTCACAGTAAACTGTTTGGGGAACAACGCCAGCAGCAGCAGCGGCAGCTACAACAACAGCAACAGCAACAGCAACAGCAAAAACAGCAATGACAATGACAACAGCAGCAGCAACAGCAGCAATGGCAACGACGACATGAACAACAAGAAACAAGAACGACAATGACAACGAGAACCACAAACCACAACCACAACCACGACCGAAACCACAACACGAACACAAACCACCACCAACGCCAGCACCAACACCGACACCACCCAAACCAACCCGCAACAGCAACGGCAGCAGCAACAACAAACAACAACAATCACAACAGAAACAGCAACAACAGCAGCATCAGCAACAACAACAACCAACAACAACAACCAACAACAACAACAACAACAACAAGAACAAGAACAACAACAAGAACAAGAACAAGAACAAGAACAAGAACAAGAGCAAGAGCAAGAAAAAGAACAAGAACAAGAACAAGAACAAGAACAAGAACAAGAACAAGAGCAAGAGCAAGAACAAGAACAAGAACAAGAGCAAGAGCAAGAGCAAGAGCAAGAGCAAGAGCAAGAGCAAGAGCAAGAGCAAGAACAAGAACAAGAACAAGAACAAGAACAAGAACAAGAACAACAACAGCAACAGCAACAACAACACGGCAACAACAACAACAACGACAACGACCACGACAACGACAAGAACAGCAACAACAGCAGGAGCAAGAACAAACAACAACAGCAACAACAACAACAACGACGACGACGACGACGACGGCGACGACAACGACAACAACCAACAACAACCAACAACAACCAACAACCAACAACCAACAACCAACAACCAACAACCAAGAACCAACAACCAACAACCAACAACCATCAACCAACAACCAACAACCAACAACCAACAACCAACAACCAACAACCAACAACCAACAACCAACAACCAACAAACAACAAACAACAAACAACAAAACAATCACCAATCACCACACACCAAACACCAAACACCAAATACCAAACACCAAACACCAAACACCAAACACCAAACACCAAACACCAAACAACAAACAACAAACAACAAACCAGAAACAGCAAACAACAACAAACAACAAACAACAAACAACAAACAACAAACAACAAACAACCAACAACCAACAACCAACAACCAACAAACAACAAACAACAAACAACAAACAACAAACACCAAACACCAAACACTAAACACCAAACACCAAACACCAAACACCAAACACCAAACACCAAACACCAAACACCAAACACCAAACAGCAAACAACAAACAACAAACAACAAACCAGAAACAGCAAACAACAACAAACAACAAACAACAAACATCAAACAACAAACAACACACAACAAACAAGAAACAGCAAACAACAACAAACAACAAACAACAAACAACCAACAACAAACACCAAACAACAAATAACAATCAACCAACAACCAACAACCAACAAACAACAAACAACAAACAACAAACAACAAACAACAAACACCAAACAACAAACAACAAACAACAAACAGCAAACAGCAAACAGCAACCAGCAACCAGCAAACAGCAAACAGCACACAGCAAGCAACAAACAGCAAGCAACAAAAATCAACAACAACAACAACAACAACAACAACAACAACAAAAACAACAACAACAACAACAACAACAACAACAACAACAACAACAACAACAACAACAACAACAACAACAACAACAACAACAACAACAACAACAACAACAACAACAACAACAACAACAACAACAACAACAACAACAACAACAACAACAACAA